GCCCCAAGAGGGGAAGATCCGCCCACCCACCCCGCAGATCAGACCATAGGGGAGAACTGGGTGAGTTCCCCCCCCCCCCCCCCCCCCCCCACAGACCCTGCAGTGTGTGACTGTGAACATGGGTGCACTCTGCACAGCACTTCACTCTGCACGTTTTTAGTTTGTTTTTTATTTATTTATTTATTTATTTATTGTTTTTGCCAGCATTCTAACTGTGGGGAGAGAAAGTGAGGGTGTTTGCTTGTTGCTTGTGTTTGCTCAAGAAATGATAGACATCTTATTATTTCCTGATGTTGGCAACTCTATCTCATATGGGAGCGAGAGAATAAGAGGGGAGGAAGGAAGGGGAGTGCTGGGGGCCATGAGGACATGCTCCAACTTTTAAATGGTTTCCTATCCAGATAGCAGCCAATCCAAGTCTCCTAATCTAAAAGAAATGTTTTTTTTTAAGAAAACACAACTCTTTGCGCCTATAACCCTCCTAATGCAGCACTTTCTGCTCTATTCCTCTGTGTGTGTGTCTGTCCAGAGGCCAAGTCGTGTCAGGCCATCACGTGCAGCGCAGGAAAGAAGTGTCTGTGGGACGATCGGACGGGCCGGGGCCGCTGCTCGGTCTGCGTGGACCCCTGTCCACAGAGCCGGCCGAACGAGGCGGTGTGTGCCAGCAACAACACCACGTATCCCAGCGAATGTGCCATGAAGCAAGCCGCCTGCTCGATGGGGGTGTTGCTGGAAGTCAAGCACTCTGGATCTTGCAATTGTAAGTAAAAGAACAAGAAAGAAAGAAAAAGCAAAGAAAATATAATTGCAAAGAAATAACCCCCACCTTCCTCAAGTTTTATCCAAACAACAGACAATATCCCATGTTGCAACTAAAACCTCCCCTGAAGGTGCCCCCACCTCCCTCCTCCCCACACACCTCCTCCTCACCACCATCCACCCTCCCCTCTAACTCTCCCCAAGTGTCCCTCCCCAGCTACATCCACAAGTTGCAGAAAGGACTTGGGAATAGAAGAACTTGCATGACTTTGTCTTTTGTTGCTGGCTTTTGTTCTTGTGTTCTTCGCATTAAAAAAACAACAACCTGGAAAACAAAAACAGAGAGGAGAAGGAAAGACGTTTGCTTCGAGTCTAACCTGGGGGGGAGCTGTTGAACTAACTCAACTCGTAGAGGAGACTTCAGTTGCTTGCTTTGGAACAATCCTGATATTGAACACTTAGTCACCTGCAGGAGAAGGTTGCCTTAAATCTCGTGCCGTGTCACATGATAACCGTCGCACAGCTTCACAGCTTGGAAACCTCACGTCCCCACAGTTTCATTCTTTCAGTCCCTTTTTTTTGTGTTTGTTTTGGCTGTAATCAATCAACCTGCAAGTCGTTATAACCCCCCCCCCCCCCCCCATACGATTCAAGAATAAGGTGATTGTAATATTGGAGCCATGATGGAAACAAGGAGAAATAACTTTAGTAGTTAACGAGACAATCTTTCCAAAAACTATTTGGCCCACAAATTGTTAAATAATCAACAACCTCATCGTTGAATTTTGTATATTTTCTTTTTAAATTTCTTCCATAGCTGCTTTTAAGGTCTGCAGTTAAATGGTGACCAACTTTACAAACACCTTATGAGTGAAATATAAATGTAATCAGTTAAAATATTTGATATAAGCTTGTAGAAACATTGTTTAAAAACTTTAGGAGGTACTTTCCGTCCTGTTTCTGTGTTATCAATAAGAATATGTATCAAAAATGATGGATCCGTTTGGATTAATGAGGGACCTTTTTATGTTTTATTTYGTCTCTGTGTGTTTTCACTCCTGCGCTCGCTGTGTGCTTTTATTTTTTGATGTGTTTCAATGTAAATATGTGTTTAAAAAAAAGGGGGCGGGGCATGAGAAAATACCTCAGAGCAGTGTTCAGGTTGTCACCCCTTGGGAAATTTGAGCCAGGAGCTAAACAAAGTAAGAGAGAGGGGGAGAGAGAGAGAGAGAGAGAGAGAGAGAGAGAGAGAGAGAGAGAGAGAGAGAGAGAGAGAGAGA